GTTAAAAAAATGTACTCAAATGAGTGTATTAGTTGTGATGATGTATCGTTAAAAAAATTTGGTCAAGTGAGAGCTGAGAAAATAAATGAGAGCCATAAAAAATTTTTAATGAGGATAAGAAATTTATTCAAACGAGGGGGGATTACAGTTATGGAGTCCTTGATATTTATTAAAGTTATTGACTCCAAATGAAATAAAAATCAAATAATTTAAGAATTATTTTCTAACTCAAAAACTTTTCTAAGGTATTTTAGAATAAAATAAAATACAAAATTGAAAATTGAAAATTTTAACACAAAAATAACATACGATAGCCATTTTAACCGTGAAGACAAAATAAAGTCTGAAATTTTTTTTTTTCATAATAAAGTATATTACATTGGCTTTAATTTAAGGTATATATAAAAGTGTCAGTATTTTCGCAACACTTTCAAAAGTTAAGTTTAAAAAGTTGTCATTTTGAATCCCCCCCTGTGACAGGTAAAGGGTCAGCTTTATAAAAAAAAATATACCAAATGGTAGGTAAAGACATCATGCTAACATATAAGTTTAATTTGGCCCATAGAAGGCATCACATTTATAGCCCCAGGATAAACCACTGAATATATTATATTATATAAATATAATATTAATATTGTATTCATATAAATATATATAATTTAATTGATACTAAATTATTATAAATACAATGTATATCATAAAATTTAAAAATGTGTAGAATACTATGATTGAGATTGGTAATTATTAGTTTCAGCATTAAGCTATCGGCTAAATTTTTTGTTAAACTATTTTAGAATGTTTTCTCGTATTAAGTATATCAGCAAATAAAACTATTACATTCCATGAATTTTTTTAACTAAATAATACTAGTTTTTTATTGAAACTATGGAAAGTAAAAACTTATCTTCTCAAATTTTTGACTTTGTATGTTTGCAATATATAATATTTCAAATTTTTATAGGTAATTATACATGGACTATTTACATACTCCAAGGATATAATTTCTTTAGCAATATATATGGATATAGTTAATTTGTAGTTATTGTCAATAAAACTTTACAATGTAAAGATGTCTTTTAATTTTTGTTCTGACAACTACATTTTATTTTGTGACAATAATTCAAAATACTTTATATTTTTATAAAGACATGTTGTGTTATTTTATGATTAATTTTTACATATATTATAAAATTCCACATATTGTAATAAAATACATATTAAATAATCTCATGTATAATTTTCAACTTAATAAGTAATAAAATAAGTATATAAATTACCATTTCCTCCTTCAGACTGTGTAGACTTGATAAGATAATTATAATGACTTTTTTTCTGTTTAAGCCATATCAATTTCAATGGTATGAGATCAGGTAAACTTTGAGTTTTTTCATTATTAGTTGAAGACAAACTTGATGATGTCTAATTTTTAAAAATATAAATATTATACCATAAAATTTAAAACATTGAGTGATTTATTTAATCTTAAATTACTTCATTATTTAATTGGATACAATTTTTAGTTTCAGATGTTATACATTTTTTTAATTTATTCCAAGTAGTAAAAGTAGTATCTGATGATACCATAGGTATACTTGGTTGTATACTTCCATCACTTGACCATGCTTCACCTGAACCAGTATTTCTACTCTCGCCAGTACTCATAGCTTCGCTACTTTGAAATTCTTCTGAAACACCCATAGCTGGTTCCTCAAAAGCAATTGTATAGTTATGTTTATTGTTTGCTTTACAAGTAATCAACATATCATCACTGCAGTCTAAGGAATCAGTACTAAAAGTAATAAAAGGATTTGGTGACTGCTCTTTAACAGGAGAGAATAATTGCTTGTTTTTACAAAATGAATCAGTCGAAATTGCCTATTTAATAAAAAATAATAATAATTAGCTCAATAGATATACAAACAGAAAAGCATTTAAGACTATTACGTACTTGGATGTCTTGACCACACATAGATGGTAGTGTACTGAGTATATTATGAATATCTTCAGATTTAAGATTTTCCATGTCTACATGAGCCAAATTAACATCAAGATCTCTTGCCACATCCTCATAACAAGGAACGTTATAATTTTCTGATATAGATGTTAAAATACTTTGATGATGATTTAAGTTATCAGGATCACGATACCTTTGTCAATGAAAAACCATTAATATAAATTTTATTGTCTATAAAATTATAATGGAAATACCTGTAGTCTGCAAACCACTGATAATCAGAATAATCCTGGAAAAAATCTGCATTATCTTGAGATGAAGCATTACTCCTATAAGAGCTCAATGTGGTATCCAACATTTCCAAATTATTGGAATTACAGTCACCTTGACTAGCAGCAAACACCTCAACCATGGTTGAATTTTTTAGAACACAACCGTACGTGGTAGAGGAAATGCCTAACATAGAATCTGCAAAATGAAAAAAAAAAATTAAAATTGTAGCACAATTTTCTAATGATGATTTTATTATTGAGAAATATATGCATGAATGATATTTTAGATTTGCAATAACACTCATCAAAATAATATGTTTAAATTTAGTGATCAAGCAGATTCTTGCCAATTGCCAAGTTTTTTGACACAATTAAAAAATACACATGAGTATATAATAATAAAAAACCTAATTTTCATTATTCTTTTTCAACAGTATTTAAATATTAAGAGAATTGAAAAGGTTTTAAGAAAAAAATTACATTATAAGTAATATTAAAATAATTTGAACTATGGTATAAATGAGTTAGACACAAGTATAATTACCTTATAGGATAAATATGAAACTATAATATATATTTAAAATTATCATTAAATATATTTATTGGTACTCAAATTAGTAAAACATTAACATAATATTTAAGTTTTAGTCAGATAACTTATATATTTAACCTTGTTTTACTATATAAAAATACAGTAGAATATTTAAAGAATGAATCAAAGAGCGTTAGTTACGCATACATTGAATTTATCAACCTTGAGCCATTTATCTAGTACTGTTAAGTTCCATTAATAAGTATTTAGTAACTTTATTGTTAGTAAAATAAAATTATAATAAATAATAAGTACTAACCATCAGAAATTTAATCTAAGCTTGGTAGATCAGACAAATGGATCTGAAGACAAGCAATTAGTTATTGTCACATGATAAGCATAGAAGCTTATCAAAGCCAAAACTATTGAACAACACTTGTATTATATTTTAATATACAACTAGACACAAATTAAATTCGCAATTGATAGTCGGTACTCAAATTTTTACGATGAAATCAGCAGTACTTCGATATCTATAGAAAGTCAAAAAATGTTTAAGTGGTAAAAAATTGAACACTGAAATAAAAAAGCTCGCTAATAAAATATTTAACATAAGGGTTTAACGTTATTTTGCAAAAACTAAATGATAAGAATTTTATCGTTGTTCTTTAGGTATTTATCTTGAACGTCAATACGCGCATACGCTAAAATAGAAACTAACCGCAATAAGATACGTAAACATCTGGTTGACCAAAAATCACTCCCGTACCACTACGAACGATTGGCGACAATGGCGGCACACATCTTATCCCATTTCCTAATGCAAAATTCACATTACTCATTGCATTTTTCATTGTTTTGTTTTTTTCATATATTATTAATAGTAATAATTTTCTTGTCTGTTATAAGGAGAAAGATGGTTATCGTCTAAAGTAAGTATTAATTCATTTTTATGCTGTCAAAAAATAGTCTCGTACCACGCACTTAAAACGACATTGATCTGCATACCTACACTTATAAAATTTAAACCTTATAATAATACCCATAACAGTCTTCTTATTTTGTCCACAGTATAGTAGTTGTTAATATCATTAAAATTGATTAAGCATACAGTATGATTGTTATGTAAATTTAGATTAATAAATAGTATAAAGATTTGTATCTGTCACTCAATTAATGAATCAGATAATTCTTTTTAATTTAAATTAAAAACCTCAAGATCTATATTGTTCATTTTCAGCATTTATTAACTTTTTCAAAAAACATAAATAAATCAATTTGTTTTTCAGTAAAAATGTATGTACTAAATTTTAAAGTGATACACTCGAATTAAGAACTCCTAAAAGAAAGGTCGTAACATAATTTTTTTTGTTCATTTAACAAGTTTTAAATCCATATAATTATTTATATATTTTTTTTTTTTGTTCACCAAACATTTTTTTACTCTGAACCGCTATTTAAAAATAATGAATGAGCAAAAATAAGGTCAAACATTACAAATAATTTTGGGGGATTACAACCCCCTAACCACCCCTATGGTAGCACCACACAGCCTAATGTTTCAAATAAATAAAAATTAGTAGTTATAAAAAAACAAATATAATCTTTTCTATCAGCCCTAACGCTAATGAAATAAAAAAGTATAATAATAAAACACCACCCCGTTTCAAAATCATTTTTTTTCTTTAGACAATATAATAAAATATACGTAATATAACATATGACTGAAGAATCGTAGTTTATGAGCCTTTTGAATATTAATCGTATGCATATGTTTCACACTTGCCTGTTTTTATTTTGGTTGATATAAACGTATACTAGTTTTTAAGCATATATATATATATTTATATATATATAACGAGATTACTTGATTTCAAGCCAACATTATACATATATCTTGTATATTTAATAACTTATGAAAATACTTCTAATTTTTTAATCATTTTGGCATGAACATAATATGTTATTATAATAATATATTCAGTGGCGTTTTTAAAGGGAGGGGCATAAAGTTACGTGTATTCCCCAATGTATAAAAATTCTGACATTAACATTTCAGATGACCTTTTTATCTTCTCAAAATTAACCAAAAAGAAACACCTACAATTTTTATTATAAAATATCCATTCAATTTTTTGTTGTACCTTTCTTATTATAAATTTTTAAATATGTCCTTGAATATACTATATTTGTAATTACCAACTAAAAAACTATTCATATATTTCTAAGCTACTATGTAATCCTATGACAAAGTTGTATAAATTTGTGACCCTTCAAAGTGGTTCGAACAAAAATTATAAATAGATATAATTTCTGGCCATATTTATTATAATCCATAGCATAATACTCTAATATTAATTAAAGTTAGCGTAGAAAAAGTGTTTTTATGTAATATTAACACAAAAATATTAAAAAATTATAATTATTTGCAAAAATAAAAATCTAATTGTGAAATAATTCCGCTTGTCTTGAAAATATTGAAATAATATTTTGATTTAATTAGTTTTTATCTATTAAATAAAAGCTATAAAATTTAAAAATTTGTTTACATATTTAGTTTAAATAACTAATAACATATTAAAAAGTATTCAGGGATTTAAAGATTTCTTTTTTTAAATATTATAAAAAAAATGTTCACTTACAAGTAAGTTAATAATTTTATTTGTCTTATAGAATCAACCAAAAATTATATAATTTTTCTTGTAACTTTTAGTCTCACGGCAGTATTTCTTTTAAAATGTCAAATATTTAACAAAAAATTACAATATGATACAAATAATAATGTTAATAACAAGAAGTAGGATGGGAGGAAAATCCTACTTAATCTTATTATATCTTATTGCTCTATATAAGATACAACAAAGAATTTTTTTTTTTTTTGTATACCTACTACAAAAGCAACATTATGCAATTAGCACTGACGTTGGATTCTATTTAGACATACATTTAAGCAAATACGTTTATGTTTTTTTTAACTTGACATATAACGTTTTCCCAACTATTAATAAATGAAAAACTTTAAAATAAAACTATTTACAAAACATTTTACTGGTATATTGTTATAGTTTCTTTAAAGTTACAGATCAGTCTTTGGGTGCAAGAAACATTTTGATACTAGACACTTTGGCACCCCATCTCAATAAATTATTTCATTCTTATTTTTATGCCAGGAAGTAATAAATATAAAATACATTTGAAACTCATATTCTTTTGTTTTTTAAACATTACAATAGTCAACGAACTAATTTGTAGAGTCATTATTCTAAAAATTCTAATGTGAAAAGTACTCAGTATTCTTGTTGGAAACAAACTTAGTCTCTAGAATCCATTACAAACAAAACTCACAAATATTCTTTATTTCCCGTTCCAAACATTTTATCCATGAACTTTAGAAACTAGAAGTATTCTATTTTTCCTGATTTTGAATTAATTTATAGTTAGAAAATATCTGAAAGATATATGAAATATAAAAAAGGTTATAAACTCCATTGGCAAAATGTTACTATAAATAGTATATGACTTTGGCGCTACTAAAAGCATGTGATAATCAAAAAAAAATTTCTTCAGCAAAAACTTAGCGACGCCAAATAATTAAAACTGTAACCAATAGTTAACTATTGTTATTTTTTGGATTGCTTACCAATTATTAATAGGTAGTCTCCGCCCCAGACACAGTGCCCTACAGATGACTTCACGTACTTTCGGACTGTTCTTATGGGTAGGCCACTACCCATAAGTATCATAACATATACATAATATATTGTAATACAGAGAAATAAAACCGTATCTTAATAAAAACTATGCTCGTATATACAAAGAAAAACACAAGTCAGTCAAAAACCAACGGATTTCAACAAAATATTCAGCATACCCTAGGAACGTCTTTAGACAATCCTAATAAAAATTTCAAATCTTAAGTCGACAAATTCTGGCAACAGTTATTCTTTTTATTAATAAAATCTTATAATTTTAAAAACTCGAGGAGCGCTAAAAAAAATTTCTGTTCTTCGCAAATAATTTTTCGAGGGTAATATTACATTGAAAAGAATAATTTTGAAAATCGGAGCTCGTTAAGTAGTTTTTTCAACATTGATCAATTTTTCAATTTTTTTATTGTATAATAAGATTTTATTTAGTTATTATTTGTAAATTTTAAGAGATTAATATGATTATTTATGTTACCTAATGATGATATATGATGTATCATATTCAAGTTACAAGACAATTTATTTTACAGACCAGTGACTTAAGAGTTTGTCAATCTAATATCACTGCATAATAATTATTACATTAATACATATAGTTTACTTTAGATGTAAAATATATTGAAATTGTTTTAAAAACAAATTACAGTACTAATTATAAAAATTAAAATATGTTAAAAAATGTATTCACCGATAACTAATGACAATAAGTTACATTCTTTATAATTATTTATATCACTTCCTTTGTATACGTTATATGCTTCGCTGTAGGGGAGAATTAAAAATAATTATTTAAGAGTCTCAAAAGAGGGAGTGTATTTACTAATTTTATAATTAAGTATAATAATATTCAACTAATTCGTCCTTTTATAAACTATTTCCTTGTATAAAAAATTGTTATATTAAGCATAATAAGTACTATACAATAAGTATAAATACCATCTTTATTTAATGGTATTATATTAATAATTTAAATATTTATTGTACTTAAATATTTCCAAATAAACATCATTAAAAATATTATTTCATAAAAGACAACTGCTCAATTTTGTTTTACTCTTCATTCGTTTCTAGTAATCGATTTATATAAGAGCCTCTATCACGGAATTTTTTCTCTATATTTAACTAAAATTACTTAAAAAGTTGAATACTAAGGATGGGGAGCTAAAGTATTTTATCGTCTATCAAAAACTATCTAGAGAGTAATAGCTCCCTCATCGAATCAAATTTACTCCTATAATCACTTGCACTTAGTAGAATATCTATTGGTTATTATTATCTATTTTTTTTAAGATATTTTTATTGATTTTCAGTAATATTTTAATTTTATATTTATAATTATTTTCCAGAACACAATGAGTGACCAGAATATTTAATTATTTTAAATTTGCCGTTCTAATTTAAAATAATACATCATTCCTAGAATAATTGTGCAATATATTTTTTGAGTACATTGAATAATAATAATGATACTGAATTGACTGCCCGTATATTATACTAGCAGTATATATACAAATGACACTCAATTTGGCGTTGCAATGCTTTTAAGTATATTGCGCAATAAAAGTCACATGGTGTTAAATGTGAAGAATACAAACGTAACTTATTTTAAAGGCGAGAGTTCTCCTGAGACGTACTGGTCTTAGTAATTGAATTAAAGAGAACATGTATGTATCAAAAGAAAAATAGCTCTTTTTTTTTATTTCTTACTAAAAATATAAAAATAATAAAGTATCTAAATTTTAGTTTAAAAGTTTTAAACTACATAATATAATAATTTATGTCATTGAACAAATTAAACGTGCATATTAATTATACTAAACATGTATAAATAATATTAATAAAGTAAATTAACAACATTAATGATAAAAAAAAATAGCTTCTCAAAAGTTAGAAATGTTTCAATTTTTATCTTTTTATTACATACTGAGTGGTTCTTTTAACGCTAGACAAAAGTTTAAGTGAGAATTGTAGTAATAATATGATTACTATAAATGCCACTTAATGTTTGGCTAGTGTCAAAAATATCACTCTGTACGTATAATAAATACTGTTTTGTTACAATAAATTTATACGCATAATAATTTTGATTGGAAATGATTTTAACGAATATCGGCTATTGTTGATTAGCAGGAATAATTTTTCAAAATAGTATTCTAATTGCCCTAAAAGTTCTTAGTCGTATTTAACTATTTATATATTATATTAAGAAATATACGATAAAAAGGAATTGTATGGCAGCTTTAAAACAGCTGCTGTTATAATATTTATCAGTCATACGGGCTCAGCCATCAATTTGGTATGTTATACACTGCGTGTTATGGTCTATTGATATATGAACATGACGTGATCACGCATGTTAAATGCAGTAATTTAACGAGAGTACATCTTGCGCATCCTGTCACTTCAACATTTTATATCGCGTCTATTATGTCATCATAATTCTTGATAATCGTATTTTAAGCCGTTTATCTGTTAAATATTCACCGAAAAAAATCAATACAATTTTAAACAGAGCTGTCGTCATTTATCCTCAAATAAAACACTTCAATTTCCACTAATAGTTTTTAAAAATTTTTGCTGAAACTTTATGACTACTGTGTTTTGAATAATGATTTGCAAACGCTAACATACGAAATAGTAGCCGGTCCTAACGACGGAGTTACCAACAAGTTACGCCAGGCATTCGATTTAATAAATGATCGGTGACATTTATATATTGCGCGGCAATTTCCTCCTCTTTAAAATTTAATTTAAACGTCCTCTACGTTATTATTGTTCACGCCCAATGCAAATTACTTAACTCGTTTAAATAGTGTCTCGGTATCGCATCTCTAATTTTAATTATAACGTAAATAAAAAAGTTCTGCTCTACCTTTCATGGCTCGCTTGATCTTTTTCGACTTTTTGGGTTTGCCGTCAGCTTTCGGAGTGCCGTTGGTATTACCGTTGAATATTTTTTTCGACGACAAGTAAATCGCTCGTTTTACCAGATAGTATAAGCCGAAAAATATCATAATAATCCGATAGTCTCCGAAAAAACGGAGCTTTCGCATATAAACGCACAACACTTTTTCGGTCCGGCAAATTCACTATTCGTACATATTATTGTTTTATTTTCAACTATTATTACTAGAAATTAATATCGTTTTAGTACATGACGTGAGCTTGCCAACGAAATAAAATTTGGGAGACGGCAACAAATCGAGACAACACAGAAAACATGCAATTGAATAGTAACGAATATCAATTGCAATCGTCGAAATTGTACTCTGTCACATGACATAAACAAAGGAATAACTGTTGCTGCTGGAAAACTCGATCAAAACACACTATACGTCAAGACACTAGGACCGCGTAGATCCGTTTTGTGAGCGTTGCTGGTCCGATGCCAAGCGGCAGATGTGACAGAACGGCTTTACTAGCTCTGCCATTGGTTGTATTATTAATAGCGACAAGCATCGCGATGCTCCTGTACAGTCTACGAAAACGGATTTAGTTAACTGTCTTTTTTAATTATATTATTTTATTTTCACTGTTCTTTGTTTTTATTATTTATAATAACGTGCATAACTTTACCGTACAGAGGAAACGACTACCGGCACATATGTGGACCTCCCAAAAACTTCACTCGTTAGACTTGCTGGTGACAAAAGACATGCACAGTATTTGAATAAAAAAACAAAATACCAAATGAACTCGAATATATACTTCATTTTTTTAAATTTATGTTGGCTAGATAATCTAAGTTTTTTATTGATTATTTTTAACTATACATACAGTCATATCACAGCACTAAATAAACAAGAAATCAAATGCCAAAACAATATTAATAATAGCAGATATTTTTAATGTTATATGATAAAACAAAATTTATAGTTTTTAGATTGAAATAAAATACAATTTTCGGTGTAATGACATTCTTCAATGTGCAATAAAATAAAAATTCGAATACCAAATTTAATAACTATATTTAATTATTAATGGATGGTTTTCTCTGTAGGTCGTTATTTATTAACAAATCTGTATTATCGTTAGGTGTTCTCTGTATTTCTTCGGAATGTTAAATTGTAAACAAATTTGAAGGCATAGCTTCCAAAATGTTTATTTTTGCACCAATGAAAAATTTTAAATTAAAAATAAATTTGCTATCATAAGTAAAATATAGCTTTAATTTTATATTGCTTTTGTTTAATTGTTAATTTTTCATCTTGTAATGTTAAAATAAGCTAATACAATTCCTTGTACAAAATTAAATTTTCCCTTTAATTTGTTAATTATAAAACGAACTATGTACAAAATACAAACACTTACTGGTATTACTACAAGTGTTAACATATTGTGTATACAAAAATAATAACATGATGTGGTGCCAAGTGTTCAAATTATTCCTGCAAGCACCATTTTGTATATTCTAACGCAAAATAAAAGCGGGAAAATGAAAATGATAAAATTTTGAAACCATTTGTAAGTATAAAAAATCAAGTGTAAAATCATTATCCACCATGGCAGTGTGAAGTAAATAGCGCCTTAGGCCAAACGTGGCATAGGTACATTTTATGCTTAAATAAAACTAACACTTTTCCTTTCCATTAAGAATACCACTGGTATTTTGAGAGATGATTTGGGTCGTCTTTTCCATGCGACTCATTAAGAATTGCAGCATAAAACCATACAAGTAATTGTTATGAAATAAATTAGAATAAAATTTACTTTTCTTGTAATAGTTTTTGTTGAATCCTTAACCAACAGCCAAAAAATTTAATGATATTATGCGTTAACCTATTAAAAACTCAACATTTGTCGAGAAGTTTTACTAATAATAATTATTATTTAAAACATATACTAATTTCAAATAGTTATACGAGCTGTAACATTTAGCAGACAATAATGTGAATTAGACACTTATTTACAAAACCCTTGGCAATACGCTTTGACAATAGCAAAATAAAATGTAAATTTTGGCATCGCTTTTAAACCTCGGTCTTTGGACTTTAAAAAATGTGTACTTGGCAATTGATATGTTTAGACTACTCGGAAATCGTCCAGAACTTGAACGATTACTTTCGAAATATTCTTTTGCCTTAAGTAACACTATTGTAAATACTACATAAAGTTCATTAGAGAAAGGTATCATAAAAAACGTGTTCCGTTTAATGCCCTTATGTGTTATTATTTCAAATAATGGCAGTATAAAACAGGAAATGTGAATATTGATTTATTTTTTATTTGTCTCAAATAAAAATATATTGTGTCTGTAGAATATATTAGCACTTTTAAAATTTGTGCAATGATCTAGTTAAAAATTTTCGTAGTTATGCTATATAATACATTACATATTATATTATTTATTATTATACAATAATAATACATAATATAACATAATTTTCTAGATATGCAAATAAAATTATGCTATTAAAATAGTCTTTATGTTTAAGATGTTATAGTTATAAGTCCTATAAGTTGTTTACCAGTATGTCTACTATGTGCTACACTACTCATCAATCCTTTATTCAGATATAAATGTTTAAGATTCAATAGTATAAGGAATATTTCAACCCATAATCCATTTGCATATTCATATAAGTACACACAAAAAAATATTGGATTTGTTTTAATTATAACTAATGATGTTAGTTAGTTTTGGGTTGAGTTAAATCCATTTGAATTTACTTCAACTTCGCCGGACCGTTGAATTGAATACATTATGTTGCAAATTAATACATTTCAAAATAAAAAAAAACAAAAAGTTGTAATAAAAATATCTATTTTTTGGTTTAAATTCTTACAGTTCAATATTAATTTAAATCGAAATTTAACTGTAACTAATATTCTCAAAACCAGAAAATCGCAAATCACTTTACGCTATAAACTAGTGTTATTTTAACCCCATAAATATTATTAAAATCAACACTTCACTAATCTTATATGAAAATTGTGCAATTGTGTACGTACATTATAATTGCCTACATTCATATTTGAGGGAGATAAAATAATTTAAAAAACAATTTTTTTTTTGTGAATAAAAATTATCAGTATAAAAAATTGCTAGAAAACTTTGTTTAATAAATAATCATGCAAAAAAAGAACAATAATACTACATATGATATATCACCTAGGTAATGAAATTTACATTCTTAACAATAAGGCATCTAGAATCTGTTTATTAACAGATTCCTTCAAAAAATAATTCATTTAAATTAGTTTATGTAATAAAAAAATAATTTGAGACACAAAGTGAATAAATTATACAATTTTGTTTAATAATCTACCAAAACCTTGAAATAAATGAATGTTAAGGTTCACATCATTTGCCCTTTTAAAGAGCACAGTAAATGATAAAAAAAATCTTTATACTTTAATAATGATTTTATACGAAATATAATAGGGTCTATTATACATTTATGTATAAAAATATAATAGGAAAAATTGTATAAAGGCTTGTTATGTAGGAAAAATTTTTTTTCTTCTATTTGCACAGGTTTTCTACGAAAATTCGTACATTTTTCTTATAAAACTCTAGTATAAACCAATTTTTATTGATTCTTTTAAAAACAACCCCAATCTAATGAGCGCTAAACTAATTATGAATCTTTGAAGTGTCATGCACGAACGTAATATGGAAATGAGTAAAACATAATTACAGGCAAACCATTTTTATGACGTTACATGATTTTCACCCCAACCATTTTCGTTCATCATACATATTTACATTAAAAGCACTCACAGTTTATTTATATTATTATTCTTTCAAACGTATACACATAAATGCTTTAATCATAAATTATACACTTTAAACCTAGTTAGATAACACAACACATAATAAAATACAACTAATCCAGTGAAATGTTGTAAACCAAGCAATACAATGTATTCTTAAAAAAAAACCTTAAAAGCGCTGTTGATGCACTATTTTTGTGCGTCATAGCCTGTATGATATTTTGAATGGTTAACATTCCCATCTCTATTTTCTTTAATAGCTTACTTTAAGTGTAATGTGTATGACCTAAATCATTTTAACAACTATATACTGTTCAGGTACAAAAAAAAAAAAGATGAAAAGATGTTGTATGAGGAAGTAAAAGTATACAGTTTGTTGGTTGTTTTAGTTGACATCTGTGTCTACTGATAATATTTCAAATTAAGAATCTCAACTCAAATGTTCATTCTTTCCATGATTTAGATATTATAGTTATTTAGTGTTTAATAAAAGTTCAAGGTTAAATATTAATTCAGACATTAACCATTGAAACAATAAATCAAATTTATTAATAATTACGTAAGTTTTTCGTAAAATTTTCGGTTTGTTTTGTTTGAAATAACTGAAAAACAATTTATCTTATAGTGTCTATTTTTTGAAATGTATAAAACTATGTTACAAATTCATTGCTCGAACTAGATGGTTTTTTTAAATAATTGTTATTATTACTTTTAATTACTCATTCTGAATTAAATTTCAAATGATCAAAACATATATTTGTACTTCATCAGATAAAGTACCTAATGTTATAGTACTGACAGAATATACACTTTTTTTGGATCGATATCGACGCGAATTTCATAAATTAATTTATTTTATATCTTATTCTGCGCCTTACAAGAAGAGTACCTAAATCACTATCAGACCAATGTTGTCTATCTACGACGTGTCAACATTTTACTTTTTTTGTTTTTACATAATTTAAAAAAATAATGTTAGTACTTTATTTAATTTCTCAAGTTACGAATTAAATAAATAATATTATCACTACTCCTACAAAGATTATGAATGTTGAGGTTAGCCATGTCACATTTTTATAAGTCTAATGAAGAAACAAACATCTAGGTATTTCATTCGATCACAGATGCCATAAAGTTTTATACTTTATGGCATCTGTGATCGAATGAAATACCTAAATGGTAAATATGATCTTCCGAGTATCCATTTCGTGCGAAAACCTAACCNGAGGTTAGCCATGTCACATTTTTATAAGTCTAATGAAGAAACAAACATCTAGGTATTTAATAGTCGAGTCCAAGTCTATAAAACTTTATGGCATCTGTGATCGAATGAAATACCTAAATGGTAAATATGATCTTCCGAGTATCCATTTCGTGCGAAAACCTAACCTACCACAGTTGTATCGTGATGATTATAAATATAACTTAAGTGAAACTCACTAGGTTTGTCCATATTTTTACCGTCCGCAATCTACTCGGCCGTGTACGCCGCGGACGAGAGTCTCACTTTTTTCCCAGCATGACTCATTTCGGTGGATGACGAATTCACGACGGCCACCGCCGAGGCGGCACCACCGCCCTTGTCGTTCGGACGGCAAAATTTACCTACATTCATAATTCTTCCCGAGTTGGTGAAACGAACGACGGCGGCCTATCGGTACTCGACGTTTTTTTTGTTTCGATAGACAAAATAATAACAACGCAAGACGGTAATGCGCAAATTAAGTGTTACGTAAGACACCGCCGTCGCACACACGCCGTTTACCGTATCCACCACGGGGTATTTGGTGTTGTCGTTTTAGTCGTCAGCACACGCGCCCCCGATCGATAGCGCACTCGGTAGATGTGCGCACACTGTTTTTGCCGGCGCAACTGGTCATTGTACGCACATTGCTAACATATTAAGCCAAAAAACAGTGTTGTGGATGGATCCGTCTAAATTTACATTTGTGTTGTAACCGAAAATGTGCAGTGTACATATTATTACAACACCATTGTTTTGAGTGTTTTAGTAGCTAATTGGGATTCGCTTGGAATGTGCCACTGCTCTAATTGAGATATTACGAAATTGTTATTACAACTGCAGTAAAGTCTACGAGGGGTCGTAAGATTTCGTCTAAAATAATGTCATCGACTGATCAAACAGACGGAATTGGTGTTTTTGGACGGTCCCCAAGATTTATGCTCGTCTGTTAGTACTAATGAAAGAGTTCTTTTGTGTGTAATTTCTAACTTGCTGAAGTGGACGCGTTTATTTGATGGTATTAATATTACTAAGCTAAAGTAATAATTTATGGTAATAACCCTTTGGTGATAATTAGTTGTGTCGTATAGTTTTTCTTATTAATAGTATATTATAATTGTGAATTACTTAATATTTGCAAACAACGTGTAATTGAAAACCAAATACCAAATAATCTAGAAAACATTTTAATTGATTATCATGTCTAAATATTTTGAGTTTGTCAAGTAATAACTGCACTTTGTTCTGCAAAGTTAATTATTTTAAGAACGAAACATTTAAAGGCGTAACTCGTCTTTGTAAATCGGTATCAAATACCTGAAAGTAATTGAAGTTTTTTATACACAAACGTACCATTGTTTTATGTCATTAGCAACATACCGAATTTAAATAAATAATCGGTAAAGGTGTAGCACTCTTAAGTTAATTATACATTTAACAATAGTTGGATTCATAGGAATTCTTATTAATATTTTTGCATGTTTTGATGTTCAGCTGTTTAGTTTCTGAGTACTATAAATGTACAAGCTATTATTTTTAGAAGACTATGACACAATGTTTTATTAAATTTATGATTAACGATATAGGAGTCTATTTATAAATTAATTTCTTACAGAATACTTTTTTTTTATTTTTCATAAATTAACACATTTTATCATAAGAATGTTAATATTACTGTACTATTTGTCGATGATTAAAGTTCTTAAATGCAGATATCATTTAAATACTATTTGTAAATTATAATCCAGATAGTATTGACATAATGAGAGAATACAAAGAACACCTTCGAAATAATAAAGTGTAACTTATCTACTACTTATTGTCAAATACGATTATAATATGAACTCGTGATTAAATTTTTTCTAAATTACAGACAAGAATTCTTAAACGGCAAAAATCACGGCATGGCTTTTACCATATCATGGTTGCCTTATTATAACGTGTAGTACATTATAATGCACGTTATATTCAGAGAAAATTATAAATTATTCTGTGATATCTACGAGGCAACACAAGTGCATTACTACTGATTTTTCGTTTATTTATTTACACTTCCGAGTTGGGCGATTAAAACGTTTATTCATGTGAGTTCTAATAAATTATTCGAATGATTGTATCGCAAACGAATCACATAAGGTACAGGTGACGGCATCTAGTAGGCACAAAAGAAAAGTGTAGGCGTATAGTGTAAAAACAACGAAATGCCACACTCTGGTCGAGTACTTAGTTTAAAAGTAGTAAAGTGTGGGGGAAAAAGGACTAAAACTTAGTGTCAATAAGCAAAACCTTGTAGATAAAAACGAAAGTTCCTTAATAGAGGTGTGCTGAAAGGGTGTTGGTGAACGTGGTACAGATGAGTGTACTCACAGAGGTAACTGGAACAGACGAAACTTTTATTGCATCGGCGGACCGGAAAGCTTTTGGTTAGGCCGATACATACACGTACATGTATAACAAGCCAATCGTATCACCTGCCGATAGCAACATTGCAGCGAGTGTGGTCGCAGCCGACGCCCTCCCCGGAAACCATCAAACGCCGTCACAGCCGCCATCGACCACAGCGTGTAATCGGAGGAGTGTCAGTCGCACTCAATAGCGTTATCGATGGTTAAATAACGACCATATTGGGTAAAGTATCGATATCGTAAGCTTATACATATACACTTTATATTTCAGCACACGATTTAGACCAACGGTCCGGTCGTGTAAGCCATTAACATTATCACCGTCTAATCCCGCCTTCCTTTGGTATTATTCAACCACCGAGATGAGCAATTCCGCGATACATGGGTGACGGTTTACTCCGCTTTTCCTATTAGAAGAATATGACGACAATACATACACCATGAATGCGTTAAAAAAACAAAAAACGAACATTGACACTTTGTTTATCACTAACTGAAAAAACCATTAGCGGCATCTATGAGCAATTAACCACACGAGATATTTTTTTCAGTACTCAGAATCTATCTACTAGAACCCATATTCTTTTCTACGGAAAATTAACAAAATTAAAATATTTCCAAGTTAAAAAAAACGATAGTTTAATAATAAGATAATTTAAAGTTATAAAAAAAACATGCCAACTCAAATATATAATTGTAAAAATATAAACTGATTTTATATTATTGTTAACTAAACATCGACATTGGAAATATTTTATAATTCAAAACAGTATAATGAAATTTAGTTAAAAAATAATCTATAATTAGATACTTTCAATTGTTTTAACATGTAAAATTTGAATTTTAAGCAAATTATTGCAAGTAATAAACTCGTGACAACAATTATTTAATGTATCTTAATTTACGTATTTATTTAGCACATAAACACGATTTAAACACATTTATAGTTTGTTCAGCTAGTTAACAGTTACTGCGGGTCGATAGACTAAGATTTCATATTCACCGACTGCCACTTCTTCGCCGTTGTATGGAATGTAAAGAGTACCATGACTCGGCTGAATCTAAAAACAATTTTCGACTATTAAAAAATGGATTAACATTAAACAACTATATATTTTATCTTTATGGGAAGAAAATGTAGAGCGCCTAGTAATTTTACGACTTGGTTACATTTTTAATATACAAATATTCAATATATTTTTCAAATGTTTCTGTTTAATAATTTTGAACTATATTGATAAATTGTGTTGTTTTGTTAAAAATCTTACTTTTCCTGGTGTCAAAGTGCCGTCATAAAGTGCACGTCCCATGTAAAGTTTTTCCCCTTCTACAGTTGAGCCAATTACAATAGCATTTGGAGGTATGTTGTTACCATTTGTACTTTGCCATGCAACGCTTGCGTGACATAAAACCTGAATTTATTAATAAAATTAATAATTTTTAAACTTTTATTTTTTAAATGTTGAGTAAAAATGAAAAATGTTTAAATTTTAAATTTTTTGTTGAAATTCATAGTGTTGAGATTTCAGGTTATTTATTTTTAAGTAATTGTAATAATTCAATTAATTTGAAAATGCAGTATAAAATCGATTCATTAAGTTGGTTATTAGATTATATGAAAATTTAAAATCAGTGAATACAAATCGTCCCTTTCTCAATTCAGAAAACATTAAAATAGATGAGATTAATTAATTTTAATACGCCTATACAAAACGGGAAAAATAGTATCCTTCATAATCAATATTGTAATTAAGAGAAGCATAATGTTCAATTAATAGTGTAATAGTGTCTGACCTCGAAGTGACTCATAACATGCTCCGTGCCACCCCAACAAACATATGCACCCTCGTGATTTGGATTTATCTTAGCCGGAAGCAAGTCACCTTCATGGAAAGCTCGTCCGGCGTATAAGTGTCCACCGTCCTTGTCTACGCCAACGTGCACTGCGCCTCTGGGTAGAGGATCACCAGCGTTGCACGGTATCCATGTTAAAGAGTTGGCTTGCTCTACTGGGGCCCAACCGTATCCTCCTGTAGTAAATTTATTGCGTTAAAATAAAGTAAATTGCGGCTACAAGTTTATTTTATGATTTTTTTAAATATGATCGATGAACTATTTTATGATTGCTACTTTATTCTAAATAACAGTTTTCAAGGGACTGAACCTTAATGTGCTTGTTACTAAACTAATCAATGTTTGTTATCGTTGTAGAGAATATGAAAACGAATAAGTCTATACAACCTACAGTGAAGAAATGAGAATTTAAAACATTGTATCGTAAAAAAATATTACATCACAATAACATTACATTGAAATTAGTTGTTAAATAATTTACATAAGATAATTAGAATCAATGTGGATTTCAATTTTAAATGATTGTGATTCCCATTAATTTAATTTACACATATTTTAGATGGTTTTATAATATTTGAATCGATATAAATTATGATTTTAATATACACATGCAGTAGATTTTGTTTCTGTATACATACCAGGCATTGGTAAAATCATTATTGATCAATAAACTGTGAGTAAAAAAGTTGAATAAAATCAATTTTGGATACCTACAACAATTATCCTAAAATAACATTTAATTTTTATAAACGTCATGATTTTTTATGAACAAACAACGGCACACTGCTGTAGTATAAGGTTTTCCACTGCCATATAGAAAATGTTATAATAGTGTAATCAACAAAATTGACGTGTTATAAATTATATCAGAGTTCAAAGTCAATGCACCTACGAGCTACGACTTGTCGATTATAGATAATAAGAGCTGTAAAAATCCTCTAATGATTATTATAAGTAAATAATTCAATATAATTTTACTGTAGTTGCGATAAAATAAGGACATAAAAAAGAATATCAAAGACCTCGATACTTTTTTTTTTATATATTTAAAATTGTAAAACCTGAGTACATGTCATTATTGAGCGACAGTAGAAAAAACGTTGCAATTTAATGGAATTAATTAATCCACATAGAATATTAGAAAAAACTATATTGTTATAGTATCATGAAATAATATTAATCAAAATATTACTACAGTAAATATGTAACTATATAAAAAATATTTAATGGCTATCATGTAAACTTACCAATCATTTTGTGAACACACTGTGTTGAGAACGTGTGACGAGAAAGCTAGCAAATGATTTACTAAGCATTAACAATTACACAAAACTCTTTTAAATATATATATTTTTTAAGAGTATTTGTGTTGTAGTCTATGAATAATAATTTTTGCCATATTCATAATGTCATGTATAATTTGCACACATATATTGGTTATCTTAAGTGTACAACACATACAGCTAATTAGATTAGATACGTAATTATTTCCCTACACAACGTCTTTTAGGTTATTGTTTGTTTAATTCTCATTTTAGTCTCATTGCAATAAGATGCAGTGAATCATTCTTTTAAAAAGAGACACCATATTTTATAGTACGATTCAAAAATTATAATAAGTCATCAGTAACTTATGAGTCAACATTTGTTTTATCTTGAAATTTCTATTACTTAAAATGCAGTACAGGCAGATCAAGATTAAGAACTAGAGACTGTGGTCCTTATATGTACAATTTTAGCATTTTAGATTGAGTTAACAATTCTGATTTTGTAAAAAAATAGCTATCATTAACTCAAAAGCTGGACAAAAACGAGTTATTAAGTTAAAGTTAATTTAAGCTTTTTAGTTTAACGGAGATGTTAAAATTTAAAGTTAATTCAATTTTAACTTAGTTTATCTTTGGTTCATTTAACGACTAATGTAATTCTTTGGTATTTTTCGTTAAATACCCATTTTTTAAATATTAAAAAAAGTTATTTTTATAAATTTAGTTCCAAAAAACCCAGCCGAGTGGGATCGCAGCATAAGTGGAATCTGTATAAATGATATTTGACAGTGATTAAAATCATCATCATAAAAAAACATTTCGATACAAATCTGAAGTTTAATTTTTAAAAAAAATTGTTAAATTTGACCAAAAATAAATCAAACTCTATTGCCTATAATTATATCCTGATTACATGTTTTATGATTTACAAGTATAATAAAAGAATAAAAATTTAAAACAATTTATTAGAGTCGTTTACACATAAGTTCTAGAACAATTTTTTTTTTTTTATATATTAAACGTAAAATAAGCTTTAATGCAACCCTAAGGTGTTTATTAAAACAATTTTGTTTTGATTCATTCATTTTTTAAAAAATTATGGTAATTTTAAGTAAAAAAATGTCAACATTTATTTATTTTAAAAAAATGTAAGTTTTTTCGTTATTTATGGGAAAAGTTATTTTTTTTTTGAGGGTAATAAATTCAATTAAATACGATTTGGAACTTTTGATGCATTGTTCAATAAAATTGGTCCAGTGAGAACTGAGAAAAACACAAAAAATAAAAATAAATATATAGTAAAATTAATACCTTCTCAGCTTTGTATCGAAGTTAAAATATAATAGTCTTCTATTTTTCAATTTTAAATTTATAATCCATTTTACGGTTTTCTCTTGCTTAATGTCAATACCACCAATGTGGATTCATTAAAACGAATACTTGGTCAATAGTATTGATAAACAAATTCTCTGAAACTTGCGAGTCACAGACAAGTGATCGGGTGCCTATTGTTACACAGGTAATATCGTAAATAAATTCTATAAATAAAAATCTGCCGACGTTATGGTTTACAGTGGAGAGTTCAATAAATAATCCGCATACTACTATGAATATAATTTTTTTGAAAACCAAGGAAGTCGCAGTGGTTAAGTTTTAAATACGTAGGAGCATGACTACGTCTCCATAAATGTTTTGTTGTATGAAAAAAAAAATTAGTAATGAGAAAATTTCGTTAACACCCTCCATTACCAATCATTAATTTGTCCAGCCTTGATTAAATCAAATAATATATTAAGGGATTAATTAAACATTGAATTTTGGAACTAACTATAAATATTACTGATATAATCATAGTAAGCACGACGCTAGAAATGTAGGAAGTGTGTCCTATACGAGGTCCCGTAAAATTTGTTTGCACAAAGCCCCCCAAGCGATTTCTAACGCCGGTTTTGAAATTAATTCCTTTGAAAAATCATGTATATTTTATATTATATTTTTAAGATAGACTTAAAAAATGAGATTACGCCCGCAAAAATTATCCCAACTTCCACTTGTGATTATACTTCTAGTTCATTACTAACTGTAATTTTTATTTTTTATAACTCATTTTATTATAATTAAATCATTAATAAAAATAGTTATAATTTAAACCAGAAAAACTTAGATCATTTCTGACTCTCTATAGGTTTAAGTTCTTTTCTAATGATAGTCTAGATAGATAGTAAGATTAAGTATAAGATTTTAAGACAATGATTGGTTAGAAACGTAACTAGAATACAATTTTTGAATTGGTTTTATGTATTTTTAAAAATAACAAGAAAATATTTTATCATCTTTATTATAATATAATAATTTATACATAATATATAAATACATACGTGTATTAATATATTATTATTTAAGTATTTATTTAATAACTTTATTGAAAAATAATAGACTTCAACAAAATGGCAAGTACACATCATGATCTACAATTATTTAAAAATACTCCACTAAACGGAACTATTTAAAACATTTTAAATTAAATTTAATATAATTTAACCGATAACACAAAACGTAAAAAGAATTTACATAAGTTAAAATCGTGCAGTAAAACCCTACAATATACCTCAGCCTTGGTACCAGAATTAAGAATAATCTCTTTAAGTTAACATGTTATATCCTCAAGACATATTACAAGACGGCAGACGTGGGGTTTCCTCCTTAGGCTATAATTTAAATAAAGTTAACGGGGTGTAATGGTTTAGTCCTTTCTTGGACAGACCTTCGGACAATTTATGACAGTTGACATCAATGAATAATCGGGAAGTAACTTGGTTAAAATTAACAAACATTCATGATTTTTAATATATGTTTTTGAGGATAGTTCATTAGTAGCACAAAAGCTGAAAAAAAAATAATCAAGATTTTAATTTATGTTTTAATAAAAATTAACAAACGTAAATAATAACAATAGTACACGGATAAAATGTTGAAAACAATCGGACCCCATTTTGATCGCCAAGAGATCCTTTGGGGAAACTTACCAGAAGGAGGCTATGGCAATGAAACGGTGGTAGATCGAGTTCCACCAGAAATGATGCATATGATTGAACCAATATGGTAATATTAATATAACTACAAAGTATTTCATTAAATCATTTTTATAAACATTACTTGTTTGTTTTAAAAAGGTATCTATATCCTCCGATGGAATCAATATGGTACAAATGGTTAGGGATTACGATGTGTCTTTTAACAATTTTAGCGTTAACAGGCAATGGATTAGTATTATATATTTTCACGTGTACAAAAAGTTTGAGAACGCCATCAAACCTGTTAGTAGTAAACTTAGCACTTTCCGACTTTTGCATGATGTGTTCAATGGGTCCAGCTATGGCTTGGAGTTGTTTGTACGAAACTTGGATGTTTGGTAAAATATTTTATTATATTTAAAATATACTATATATGATAAAATACTATTATATACAGGCACAAAGTAGCTTTTTGTCGGCTGAGACAACTTTGAATACTTATAACTATTGAATATAATTTGTAAAATATTTTCAATACATAGCATATTTGTTAAGCTAAATACCTTTTTTTGCTCATTATTGAAAATAAATAATAATTGTGATTAGCACCACAATATTAAAACCCCATATTGTGATGGAAATGACTTAGTTGTGTTGCCCTCACAGAATAAAGGGAAATATCTATAAAATAATTTAATTTTTAGGGCCATTTGGATGTGAATTATATGCTATGGCTGGATCAATATTTGGTAATGCATCTATTTGGACGATGGTTTTCATAGCATTAGATCGATACAATGTCATAGTAAAAGTAAAAAAAATATACATATTATTATAATGTCTATTTATAATTAAGTAAATAATAATAATAATAATAATAATAATAATATAATAACAATAATAATTATAATCCAATATATGAAATAAATATTTTTTAGGGTTTGGCAGCAAAACCAATGACAATCAAACTGGCTCTTTTTAAAATTCTTCTAATTTATACACATGCTATTATGTGGTCTATAGCACCAATATTAGGTTGGAGTAGGTAAGACAATATGAATTTGTTGAACTATGAAAAAGACATTTATATAAATATTACTTTTAGATTTGTACCAGAGATGAATATGACATCATGTGGTACAGATTATCTGAATGAGTCAATACAATCCAAATCATTCATTGTTATATATGCATTATTTGTTTACGTAACACCTTTGCTAGTGATTATATATTCTTACTATTTCATTGTGAAGGCAAGTTAAAAAAAAGTCTTTGAGTGAAATACTAAATACTTATTAGTATTTATTATAGGCAGTTGCAAAACATGAAAAAACAATGAGAGAACAAGCAAAAAAAATGAATGTGACATCTCTTAGATCTGGTGAGCAAAGTAATACAAGTGCTGAAATTAAGTTGGCAAAAGTTGCTCTGATGACTATATCGTTATGGTTTATGGCATGGACGCCATATTTGGTGATAAATTTTGGTGCAATATTTGATCTTATAACAATTGACCCTCTATTTACTATTTGGGGAGCAGTTTTTGCAAAAGCTAATGCGGTGTACAATCCAATAGTATATGCAATTAGGTAAATAATGATTTAATAAATAAATAGTAATAATTTACAAAACTTATTACTACAAAAATGATATTTTATTGTGTTTTAGTCATCCAAAATATAGACAAGCATTAGACAAAAATTTCCCATGTCTCGTATGTGGTAAATTGGAGGATGATAAAAGCGATACAAAATCAATTGCATCTGCTCAGACTACTGTTTCAGAAGATAAAGTTTAAATATAAAACATCTTTATAATCTTAATATATTAATGAAAAATACAATGTATTTAAAAGAATTAAACTACTGCACCTTTATTTTAATTTTCTACGGATTTTTCTTATCCATTGAGTTTGGTTTTGCTTTAAAGTATTTTCTAGTTTGTCTTTAATATAAATCAAGTTAGAAGGACTTGTTTGTAAAAAAATAGAATCAGTTGAACCTTTTTTTTCTAAATCCAATTTTAATGTTATATTAGGAACTGTTTGTTGCAAAAATGATCGTGTTGCAACCTAAAAATAATGTCATAAATAACAATTATTACTAGAAATAAAAAATTTTTTAACATATATATATATATGATTATAAATAAAAAATAATATCTATTTTTCAATACAGAACTGACAATTTAGTCACTTCAAACATAGTTCTATTTTTTTTTTTTATGAATTTTTCTAATATCTAGAAGTGGGCGAAGGATTGTATGTTTCCTTGGTAGGTAATAAAAGAGGTTGTCTTTGTAAATGCGTCTTTGTTTAATACACTACTAAAGAAGAAACATGTAAAAAATTGATATTCACCTGACAAATTTAGGTAATCAACGAAAATAAACCTTTATATAGCCATTTATTAAAAAGGTTTTATAATAATAACTTATTAATATGAAATTTCATGTTTGGAAAATGGCACAGTATAAAAAAAAACCCAACCCAGCACAGGGGGGTCGCAGCAAAGTGGTGACGTGGCATAGATGGATCAAGTATAATGATATCTGACAGTGATTAAAATCACTATAAAAAAAAAACGCTTCGATGCAAATCTTTAGATAGTGTTTAATTTTAAAAAATTGGTGGATTATTCCAAAAGCTACATGATCTGCTAGTTCATTATTAATATACTAATTAAGATAAAGTATGTCGAATGAAAAAGGGATTATTAAAAAATATTATTTCTCATAAAAAAATAATGTTGATCCATACACTTTTCAATATGTCATAGCATTATAAAGTTAAAAATGTAAAAAATAAAATCGAGAATTTTCACACAATAATAGCATTCGGTAGCCATTTTCACCGTGAAGATAAAATAAAGTCCGAAATTTTTTTTTTGCATAATAAAGTAAATTACATTAGCTTTAATTTAAGATATATATAAAAGTGTCAGACTTTCCGGAACACTTTAAAAATTTAAGATGAAAAAGTAAATTTTTTGTGAAAAAGTTGTCATTTTAAATCCCCCCTTGTGGACAGATAAAGGTTCAGATATGAAAAAAAAATATACNTTAAATCCCCCCTTGTGGACAGATAAAGGTTCAGATATGAAAAAAATATATACCAAATGATAGTTAAAGACATCATGCATCTATAAAGAAAAGAATTATATTGATCCATACATCTTTCAAAAAGTTATAGCATTATAAAGTTAAAAATATAAAAAAGAATTTTTTTACAAAAATCGTATTTTTTTTATTAAGTTTAATGTCTGTTTTCACCATGAAGATAANGAGAAGGTATTAATTTTACTATGATGTGTTTTTTTATTTTTATTTTTATTTATTTTAGCTTCGATGCGAAGCTGAGAAGGTATTAATTTTACTATGATGTGTTTTTTTATTTTTTAATTTTTAATTTTTTTTTTTTTTGTGTCTTTGAAAGCTCAATCTCAGCTCTCGCTGGACCGATTTTGATGAACAATATGTCAAAAAATCACAAATCGTATCTAGTCGAAGACATTACCCTCAAAAATTGAAAAAAATGCCCTCGTTCCCCGTAAACGGGGGAAATCCCCCAAAAAATTACAAATTTAAAAATCGCTAATTTTCGATATTTTTTCAATTTTTTTTACTTAAAATTGC